ACAGAGGGGGGACGCGTGGGAGGACACACGGGCCCCGGTGCGGACCCCGGCTGGCCCGGCTGCCATCCCCGCCGTCACTTCCAGCACACAATGATGTTGGGGTCGTTCTCCAGGCGCTCATCCAGCTCCTTGTAACTCATGCCTGGGGGGAAAAGGGAGCGGGGTGTTACTGGGGTGCCCGGCAGCGGAATCTGGGGGGGCTGGCCAAGCCCCGCCGCAACTCCTCCCCTGGCAGCATGGGCTTGGAAGCCCAGTTCAGCCCAGAGTCCTGTCTCCCTGCAGTATGAAGGCTCCCAAAGGGGTGAGGGAGACCCCAGAACCAGTGCCCAGCCCTGGGCACGCAGGCAGCCCTCTGGCTTCCACCAGCCCCGAGAGCTGCACAGAGGAGCCCGGACCCTCACCGGTCTTGCAGCAGATCTCATCGTAGCTGTGGCAGCCCGTGTACAGCCGGGCTGGGTGGCTCCGCTCATCCCGGGCGACCTTGACGGGGTATTTCTGTAGCCGCCGGATAAGGCCTTTCATCAAGCCAAACTGGATGAGCCTCCTGGGAACGAGGAGGGAAGAGACTGGGACCACGATGCTGAGGCCTCAAACCCCCCAGCTCCCCCCATTCCCTTCTGGTTCCACCATGCCGCACCACTGCCTCAGTTTCCCCACCTACAGATGCAGGGGTTGGGTACTCCCTCCTCGCTCCCCCACGCTCGCCCCACTATCCCCAGTGTCACCGCCGCCCTTGGGGACCAAGCAGCAGGGTGCTGGCTCTGACCTCTCGTCCACCCTCTGGAGCTGCAGGGTGTAGCGGGAGATGAGGTCTCGCACCGTCGTGCCAGGGCTCAGCCCGCAGTACAGCTGGAAGACGTCCCTGAGGCTGGCTCGCTTGTGCCCTGCAGGGACAAGTCACCAGTCAGCCGCCCCCCTCTCCCTCTGCCTCCGCCGGCAGCCCTGCCCGGGGTCACCGTTACCTTGTTTGGTGACGTAGGACAGACACTCTTCCTGGAGACACTTGTCATCCACCAGGTCCTGGACCTTTGGCGTGGTGCAGTAGACGTTGGAGTACTGGAGGGCAAGGGAAAACCAGCTCTGCTCAGCCACGGCTCCGAGAGAGAGACCCACCCCGCTTCTGACCCTGTTGTCCCCCCTACACAGCCACGCCAATGGCGCAGCCGCTGCCCGAATCCCGCTCACGGCCCCATGCTCCGTGGCCTGACCCACCTGGAGTATGGAGACGAGCGTGACAACCCCGTAGTACCTGCAGACAGACAGGGAAATGTGAGAGAGCTTCTCTGCCAGCACCCACCAGCACCCCTCCTGCGGGCTGGCCAGGCCCCCTTCCAGACACTCACAGCAGGTTTTGCACAGCAATGCGCACCAAGTTCAGCTCCACATCAGCTTCTGCAGAAATCTTCTGGACGTGCCGAAAGCCGTCGATGTAGGGCAGGATCTAGGAGGGGAGGAGGCGAGAGCTAGGAGGGGAGAGAGCAGAGAGGCCCAAGGCATCACCCCGAAGCCCAAGAAACTCCCCTGCGTCTGGGAGCATGCTGGGACGGGCGGGCTCCATCCCCAGCAGCATTTAACCCACGTTTTGGGTGAATGGGTCACTTGCAGGCCTGAGAACAAAGACAAGGGGCGCACTGAACCGTGCTCGTAACGTGGTGATCTCTGGGGACAGCCCGACTGCCCTCTGACCCTGGGCAGGCTGGACACAGATCCCATTCAAAGCACACTGCCCCCGGTCAAGCACACAGACCTGCTGCGTGGTGAGATCCCACTGGGAGTTGAAGAAGTCATCCTTGTCTTGGGTGAAGACGGGGACATCATACTCCTGCACAATGGGGGGGTCCGGACGCTGCTCGATCACCTTCAGGTGGATGGTGTTCGACTCATCTGGCCGGGGAAAGGGGAGCGCTCAGTCCCCACAGAAACCTCTGCTCCCTCGAGAGCTTGTGACCGTCGGCCCCAGGACACCACCACGCCGCACGGAGGAAGGTGTTTGCGGCCCATAACCCCGTCCCTCCTGGCCCTTCGAGCCACCCAGGGCAAGGCTGGCTCAGATGCCCCCCAGCTCCAAGCGCAGACAGGCAGGGAGCTGCCAGGAGCGACGCAGGCAGAGCTGACCCGGGCAGGGGATGGCCCAGCTGCTTCCCAGCGCCGCCCTGCCCTGCTCCTGCCCTTACTGCCGGGCCGGCACGGCTGCCGTACCTATGGGCAGGGTGCACTTTCCTTTGGCATTCAGCTCCTCCAGCAGGATGGTCATGATGGGAACCAGCTTCTGTTTACTCTCCTCGTTGGAGATGAATCCGCTTTCCAGCTAAAGAGAGGAGAAAACTGAGCCAGCTCCTCCCCACAGGATTACTGGCTATAGAAACTGCACATCTCAGATCCCATCCTCCCTTAAACTTCAAGCGACGTGTGGGTAAAACCAGCACGATCCCCTCCTCGCCGTAAACCTGGCCCCTACCCCAGCAACGCCCAGTGACCCACAATGTGCGCCAGGACACCGGTGACTCTGTGGGGCGGACCGTGAGGCAGCCAGCCGCCCCTCGCGTTGGCTCGGGCCTCACCTCAAGGGTGGTGAGGTAGCCAGCCAGCTTCTTCACTATGGGCTCCAGCACACAGGCCTTGGCTCTGGCATCGCACACAAAGCCCAGGTTGAAGAGCAGAGCGTTTCGGCTGTACTTCTTGTGCTCGATACACACGGGGCAGCCGATCAGCTTCTTCTCCATGGCCGTCCTGCGGGAAGACAAATATAACCTGCACCTAGGCCCTCAGGGAGGCCTGAGCCCCACACAAGGCTAGTTCCCGGTCAGCTCTGGAGGTGGGGGCTTCTCTGCTTTGCAGGAAAAATGACGTCTAATCCCCAAATGCTCAGAGCGCAAAACACAGAGTCCGAAGAAGTGGGGAAAAAAAAGAGTCAACCATTAGAGAAGAAAACAGTCTCCTTTCAAAACCAGCACAGCTCTCTTTGGGAACTAGAGTCCTTGGTTACTCTGGACTGCTGCTTCCCATTCCTCTCCCCCAACCATTTCAGACCACGACAGCAGAAAGGCTGCACAGGTATGTTGCAGAGCATCTCCTCAAAGATGACTCCATCTTATGCAGCACAACCAGTACACAGGTGGACACAGAGTCCACTGCAAGCATCAGTGCAGTCACCTGCATCTTTCCTGTTGGGCTAACCCATGCCGATCAGACCTGTTTTTCCCCAGCATCAGTGCCCTACAGCCTTCAAAACACTTCTGCTGGCCCATAAGTCGTTTGACTTTCCTGGATTTGAGGCTGACCAAGAACCACATGCAGCACCAGCCACCCCCAGAAGCAGGTACCCAACCCCCCTGCGCGGGTAACCGCGGGCATCGTAATGAACCTGCTGACCGCGGGGACAGAAATCCCTGTGAGCCCAGAGCTGACAGCTGGCACTTCAACGTCACCAAGCTGCCGTCTCCTGCTGGCAGAGCCTTGCCCAGTCGTGGCGAGGACAGCGGATCCCCCCCATGGGGGAAGGACGGGTGGCTTGCCAACACTCACACGGTGATCAGCTTGTTCTGCAGCTCGGGCTTCGTGATGACGTACACCTGGATAGTGTCAAAGAGCTCCCGAGAGATGAAGTCCTCCGGGACCTGCAGCGGCACAGAAGGCCCCGCTCCAGCCTCACCCG